GGGTGCAAGACAGACTGCACAACCCAGGGTTCTAGCACCAGGGAATAAAGCCTCAAAACCTTTGGCTGTAAAAACCTGTGAGGGTTGTGGCAGCGGCAGAAACTGCCAGTCTCACAGGAGAGTCAGTTGGAAGGGTCCATGCGGTCCTAGAATATACACAAGCCCACCCACCCAGGAATCAGAACCAGGGCAGCACCTGAAAGGGTGCAATTCGCACATGGCAAGCAGGGGAAGTGACTGAGAGCAAGGCAAGAGCTGAGCAAGCACTATTGTTCCCTCTCTGACTCCTCCACATACAGCACCACAACAGTAGTGAAGTGGGTTTCCCCACCCTGGCAAATACCTAAGGCTCCTCCCTTACAACATAACATGGGCACCAAGACAAAGAAATATGGCCCAAATGAAAGAACAGATCAAAACTCCAGAAAAAGAACTAAGCCATGAGGAGATAGCCAACCTATCAGATGCAGATTTCAAAACATTGGTAATCAGGATGCACACAGAAATGACTGAGTATAACTGCAAAGTAAAGGAAATAGTGAAGGTTATACAAAGTGAAATAAAGAAAAATATACAGGGAACCAACAGTGAAGGTAAGGGAACTGGGATTCAAATCAAATGATCTAAAACAAAAGGAAGAAATAAACATTCAACCAGAACAGAATGAATTCAAAACAAACAAACAATGAAAAAACAATGAGGAGAGGCTTAGAAACCTCTGCTATAACTTTAAATGTTCCAACATCTGAATCATAGGGGTGCCAGAAGGAGAAGAGGAAGAACAAGAAATTGAAAACTTATTTGAAAAAATAATGAAAGAAAACTTCCCCAAACTGGAGAAGTAAATAGACAAGCAAGTCCAGAAAGCTCAGAGTCCCAAAGAAGTTGGACACAAAGAGGAACATACAAAGACACTTCATAATCAAATTGCCAAAGATTAAAGATAAAGACAGAATCCTAAATGCAGCAAGAGAAAAAAGTTAACTACAAAAGAGATTCCATAAGATTATCAGCTGATTTTTCAAAAGAAACCTTACAGGCAAGAAGAGGCTGGAAAGAAGTATTCAAAGTCATGAAAGGCAAGGACCTTCAACCAAGATTATTCTATCCAGCAAAGCTATCATTTAGAATGGAAAGGCAGATAAAGTGCTTCCCAGATGAGGTAAAGCTAAAGGAGTTCATCATCACCAAGCCCTCATTATATGAAATGATAAAGGGGATTATTTAAGAAAAAGAAAAAAATCAAAGCTGTGAACAGTAAAATGACAACAAACTCACAACTTTCAACAGCTGAACCTAAAAAAACAAACTAAGCAAACTAAGCCAAGGGAGTCTCTCCAATCAACCAACATGGCAGCAGGGGAGGTTCTTACACTGAGCACGTAAAAGGCTAGCAACATAATTGGATAGAGGAAAAAGCCCTCCTCCTTCTTCCAGTACCAGATTGGAGGTGGGACCAGAGGAAGGCATTTGCCATAGGAGTCAAAATGACCCAGGGGAGGAGCTGACCAGAGAAAGGAGGGATTGGTTGGGAGATGGAACCACACAAAGTGTGTAAAAGTTTGGGAAGTTGATTGGTTATTTTGAAGAAGCAGGTGGTCCATTTTATATCCAAGCTAATATAATCCCAGGGAAACAAAGAAGCTGTCTTGCTCATGGCTGGCTGCTCTGTGCCCTGCACTCACTCAGCACATTTGCCTGTTCTCTCTGCGGGCTGTATGGCCTTAGCATCCATGTGGCCTACAGCCTCCAGGAGGGAATTTCTCTCTCTCACCCACCTGATGATGCATTCACCTGTGCATTCACATGTTCTCTCACCCAGGGGCATGTGACTGTGCAGCCCTAGCAGCCACATGGCCAATGGCTGCAGAGGCTCCACACGCAGTCTCCAGGTGGAAGCCTGAAATGAACAGCAGCCAGGAACAAGCTAGGCTCCGTGGAGGAGGTCTATGCACTTATCAGCCAACTGTGGGTTTCAAAGGTTTCTACTTTAAATTGGAGCAGGAACCCTGGAAACTGGCTCTTGTCTTGGTCCTGCAGAGATGAACTTTGAGACAGGAGCCTGCCATTCTCCCAGATCACACAGCACCTGAATAAAACCTCTTTCCTTGTATACCAGCATCTGCCTCATGAGTTTGGCTTTTGTGGCGACACACACCCAAATCTCTGCTTTTTTGTTTGGTAATACTATCTCACTAATCCTGCAACCACTGAGGAAGCACCAGTGAGAAGGGATCAACATGGAAGAGACAAACCAAGCAGGGCCTGCTTTCTCTTTAACCAGCATTGCCCTTGAATTCTTACTTTGCTCTGTGCATTAATAAATTCTCCAGTTACATAAGCCAATTTAATGGGTTTCTGCCACTTGTCAGCAGAGGAATCCTAGCCAATATTCAAGCTTGGTATAGAAAAATTCCAAAATGTAGGATATCCAAGGAAGAAAATTAAAAAATCATGCATGGTGCTGCCCTGACCAGCTGGGTCAGTTGGTTGGAGCATTGTCTTGTACACAAAAAGGTTAAGGGTTCAATTCCTAGTCAGGGTCCATTCCTAGGTTGCAGGTCTGATCCCCAGTTAGGGTGCACATGAGAGGCACCCTCTCACTCTCACTCTCTCTCTCTCTCTCCCCCTTCCTCTCTCTCTAAAATCATTAGGAAATATTTACTTGGGTAATGATTAAAAAAAGTTCATGGATGATGCTCATTCTAGCACCCAGAGGCAACCACTGACCATCTCCAGTGTTACAAGGCAGGTTTCCTGGACAGCAGCCTCCCACAGATATCTGCATACAGAGGTTTATTAGGGTGAGCACTTGAGACCCTCCACACCTAGGGGGATGACGGAAGCAGTAGAGGGGCAGAGGAAGATGTTTAACTATAAGCAGTATTGTCATAACAAATGCCCAGCTGGTTCCCTGGGTGTTCCGGCCCTGAGAAGCCCCTTCAGAGTTGCCCCTCCTTGAGGCAGAGAGCTGCTGACCCTTTATCTTGCTTCTGCTCCCCTTCTCACACACAGTAGGATGCAGGCTGCCCTTGGAAAGTGCCTTCTCATTATTCCAAGGCAATCTCTTTTGTGAGGGAACTAGATTCCAGCTATTGATACTTGTATATCCTGCAGCTGGAAAATGAGTTCTTCAGTTCTGAAAAAGATGGGCCTGTTTGGTGCACCACAGCATCCATTACATTTAGTATAATACCGTTTAGTATATTTAATAATTCATACGTTTCCTCTCTCTTTGGAAACTTAGGTTATATTTAAGTGCTGTTTTATAAATTGATATGTTTTTTAGGCTATCATTACATTCTGAGCCTTTTCATCATTAAATATTCTTTAAATGAATCATAAACATAGTTTTAGATTCCTTGATATAGGTACCATAAAGTATTTAAACATTTTCTTACTATTGGATAGAGTATTTCCAATATTCTTTATTCCACATACATAAATTTTTGTTTGCATCTCTGCAACAAGTTTCTTAGGACATATTTCTAGGCATGGAATTCAAAGGTAAGGGATATGGATTACTTTAGCATTCTGGCCAAATTATTCTTTAAAATTTCATGTTAATTTACATTCTGATCAGTGCTATATTTGTTTCATTTATAATTGAATGTTTCTATATTTATTTCTTGTGAACTGACCAAAAATCATGTCTCATTTTAGCTTTGTTTATTTTTCCTAATTTGAGATGTTTAGAGATTTTAAAACATCCACTGATTTTTTTTTCTTCATGTGCAAAGTCTGGCCTTTTGTTATTGTTGTAAGTTTTTCCATTTGGGTATTAAATTGTCATGTTATTGATTTATTAAAGCATTTTATATATTAAACTGTGTTTTCTACACTCGTAAAAAAATAACCTTTTATTAGTCAGTTGCATTTTAATTCAATTAGGGTGGTTCAAAAAACATTATACAGTAAAAAAATAAATCTTCTATGGTCTAAAAAGAACTTCCTCATCCTGAAACATGATAAAATCAATCTTCACTCATACTCTTTGTCCAGCACTCAACATTCTTCCTCAGGAAAGCTTCCTCTGACTGGGCTGAATCTCCCAATGACACATATTTATAGTTCCACATACCTGTCCCTGGGACACCTATCACAACTGCAGGTTTACATTTATGTGAGTATTTATAAGTTTTGAAAGGACTGGGAACACATCTGTATGTTGTTCACTATTGTATTCCCAGAATTTGGCACAGAACTACTACCGGAGAGTTATTATCTAATTTTCTATGTTTTCAGTATTTACATTTAACTCTTAATTCACCTGAGAATTTTTTTTCTGTAGCCTATGAAGAACATTTTTATCTTTGTTATGTACCAGCACTTACAGAATAAACATTCCTTTCCTCACTGTGGTGACAGAAGTTTGGTCATATACATATGTCTAGACATACTTTTACACACACACACACTCACACACTCTAAATTCTTATTATATTGGGGTCTATGGTAGAAATCTGTTGTGTTACATCATCCTACCATAGAACTGGTCAACATGGCATTGTTTTGATTATTATAGTTACCTTATGTTTTAATATATGGCTGGAACAAGTAACTTCTCAATATGACTCTGTCCCTAAGAGTATTGGTTAAAATCACTTGATCAAGCCCTCTGCTAATACGACAATTTTTAAAAAAAGATTTTATTTACTTTTAGAGAGAAGGGAAGGGAAGGAGGGAGAGAGAGAGAGAGAAACATCAATGTACGGTTGCCTCTCGTGCACCCCCTACTGGGAATGTGGCCCACAACCCAGGAATGTGCCCTCATGGGGAATCGAACCAGCGACCCTTTGATTCACAGGACAGCGCCCAATGTGCTGAGCCACACCAGCCAGGGCAAGACAATTTTTAATCAGCTTAACAATAACGCACAACCTTCAGACCAACTACAATTTTTAAAATAAATCATTAAATTAAAACAGTAGGGAGCTCCTTGTTCCATTCTCTTTTTGTAACTTCATGGATAATTTTTGGCCAAACATGCATCCACTTACTTGAGCAATCCAGCCCGATGGAAGACATAGAGATCCTGCTCCATGGTGCAGTTGTTGAAGGGAACTATCTTCACAAAGTTCTGGATAAGGGCAAACTCAGGGGTGAGATGTGGCAGAGAAATGAGGCAGAAGTTCTTGTCCTAATATGATTGCAGAAGGACACAAGGAAAGACAATCAGAAATTATTTATCACTAAACAAATTCCTGCTGTAAAACACCAAAGAAAATAGGAGCAAAATGTATAAAGGAGAGGATATTCAAGTTAAACTTTTCTATAATTTGGAAAGTAATCATATAAAACTTAGAGGGATAAGCAACAGCAAGAGCATGAAGAGTGTCTGACTGAATCCTGAATAAATAAATATTGTGAACAATGAAACCCATTTGGCATAGCTCTTTTGCGGAAGTAGATTTTTAGTCTAAGGACATTTGCCCTTTCAAATTCACCTGCAATCAGGAGAAAACGAGGCAGTGTGGTACCACATCAAAGTCCCTATGCTTACTAAGAGATATTGTACCAACTGTTGTCTTCTCCTCTGTGAAATGAGAAAGTGGTGCTCCAGGATTTTTGTCCTTAAATCCTATGATTATACATGGACAGACATCTGTGTATTTTATCATGACATGATCTCATTTGGGTGGATAGATCTAAGAACATGTTTAACCTGGGCAGTGGATTTAGTTAGCCCACATATCCTGACAGCTGCTACTTACCTTCTAGATCTTCACTGACCAATATGGTAGCCAGTAGCCAAATCTAGCCACTGAACATTTGGAATGTGGCTAGTGTGACTAGAGAATTGAATTTTTAATATTTTATTTTAATTAATTATAATTTAAGTTTAAGAAACTGATACTGAATTCAGTTATTGGTAAAGTTTTATGTAAGTTTGGAACAACCTGGAAATATGAATCTACTGATTCATTTGTAAATTTTATAAAATCTAAAATGCAGGAGGTTCCAAGATAGCTGCAGAGTAGCTGGAAGCTCAGTCCACTTGATTCAAGACCAATTGAACATGGAGCTAAATGGCTGAGTATCTGTCTTGAAAAACCAGTTGAAACGTAGCTGATCTGGAAATTTATAAACAGGAGCATTGAGAAAGATGAGAATAGACAAGGACAGGGTGAGACCCCCACACACAGGTGCTAGGACTGGGAAGCCAGGGGATAGGGCAGCAGGGATTGCAAGGTCTCATCCCCTCATAGGGGTCCCCATACCAGAGTGACATGAGATGGGAAGGAGGGCTTTCACAGCATCCTGCATTGGGAGGCAGTGGGGACTTCATCCACCTGGGAGACTTGGAGCACATCTCAGGGAATGGGCCAGCCCATTGTTAAAACGCTATCTTGGGAAGTTTGCCCTGATCTGTGGCTACTGGAGGGGTAATGCTGCAGTTTGGGGTGGGATGAAGGGCTTGCTCAGTACACCCAGGAGTGAACTTCAAGGACCATTTGTTCTCTGGAAGGGCTTTGGACAGTGGGCCACAGTCAGGACAGTGAGGCTTGAGGAAGAGGACTGTTCTTGCTCACAATGAGCACTCTGGAGTGACCTTTTCCCCACCTTCTAAGATGCTGAGTCTGCCCGAAGGCAAAGGGATAAGGTGGCATTGGGTTGGATATTGATCTCACTCTTCTCTGCCAGTGCAGGGGAGAGGGACATTTGGCCCCAGACCAATTGGAGCTGGAAGTTTCAGTCTTGCCTTGCAGTCCCTAACTGACAGGGATTTGTTTTTTGTTTTGTTTGTTTGTTTTTTGCGTGTGTGTGATCCCCTCCTGTTTGAGTGTGAGGCGAGGAGGTGACAATAAGACATGCAGAGCTGGATTTTTGCATGCATCTCCCAGGCAGCCTTCCATTGGGAAGTCAGATGGGAAGGGGCTGTGCACTGCAGCTGCATATGGGAAAGCAGAGCCCAGCTCCCTGGCAAGTTCAACCCAAGCAGCAATGATAAGGAGAGGAAGTGCCTATCCTGCCTCCTACAGAGAGAGGGCACCCCTCGCTCCTGAGTCTGCTTGAATCACCCTTTCCAGGTACCAGCTACCCCACTTAGCCCATTTCTGTGGGGAAGGGGCAGCAACTCAGAGCAGTGGACATTCAAAGTGGGAGAGCTGAGGCAGACTCAACCTCAGATTCTGGAGGCCCCACCCACTGGTTTACTAGAAACTCTGCCCTGAAAAACTTGACAAGGGCCTGGCAGTTACAGCGGGTATAGCATCTGACATTGGCTTGCAACGGAAAACCTCGAGAGGCCCAAGACTGACAAACAAATGGCCAGCTTACATAAAAATCAGAGCAAGACACAAGAAACTCCACAATGAAAACATCTAGAGACTGATCACAACAAGCACAACAAACTACAGAGGCAAACCGCACTTTTTTCTTTTTGACTGTTTTCTACATTTTCGCTTTTCTACTTTATTTTTTGTTATTTTCTTTTCTCTTCAGGGTCCATAGCTCTTATTCTCTTCCCTAGTCTCACTTTATATTTCTTTTTCTGTTTTAATTTTTTTTCTTCCTGTTTTTTTGCTTTTCTACTCTTTTAGTTCAGCTTTCTTTATTTCTCTTTCTCTATACATTTATCATTTTTTACTATAATTTTCTTTTCTTTTACTTTCCTTTTATTTTAATCTCATTTGTTTCTTTTATCCTTCTCCAGTTCTTTTTGTTTCTTGTCTTCTATTGTTCTGTTTTCTATTTTCTTTATTTTGTTAATTTTTTTGTTTGTTTTCTTGTGAGTTGTTCTTTATTTTGTCCTTTTCTGATTCTTTTTGTCATTACTGTTTGTTTCTCTTTCTTGTTGAGCTGTTTGCAGTTTTGTTTTGTTTGCTCATCGGCTGTACAACAATTTGCATGCCAGGGTCAGGGTTGAGCGCTATAATCAATTAGCCCAGAGGCTGAGCTATTCCACAAAGAGGACACCATGAATCTAGAACCAGTTACAGGAAAATCAAAGATTGTGGCAAAGTAGGAGTATTTGTCTCACACCTCTTCCAAGAACCAAACTGAAAATAAAACTAAAAGGGAAACACACACTTGAAATAAACAACTTAAGATTACCTGAAGTGGCAACACTTAACTAAGGATGGGCAGAAACCACCTCAAGACCAGTGGAAAAGACTGGGATGTGGTTAGGGGTCAGCAGCGCTTTCACAGGTGGCAGGCCAAAGTTGCAGCAGCGTCGTGGGAGCTTACCCCTGAGGGGAGTAAAGCCTGGGCCCCAGACTGGGCTCCCTAGCACAGAATGCCAGTGCCACATTAACCTGCCCATGCAGTGGTGAAAGTCTATAAAGTTTTTGCCTGCCAGAGAAGAGATGGGAGCCGCTGGAGACAAACGAACTTTCTCCTTTTTTTCTTTTCTTTTTTTCTAAGGGGCCAAGACAAAGCATTCACGTACACAGCCACTCACTTTGGGCTCAGACAAAGGGAGGGCAGTGTGGTTTGGAATCATTCAAGGAGAGCCTGGAGTGGGACGCTTGGGGGAAAGGCATGAGAAAATGGCTGCTGGGTTTCCAGTGTTAGGACCCACCTCCATACTGCAGGAGCCATTTTTCTTGAGAAGAGCAGCCCCTTCCAGGGGAAAAAAATTACCCCACCTGTGGGAAGCTGCTTGCCCCACCCTCTGGATCCTCCTAGCCCCATCTTCTGGAATCCCACTCACCCACTCTCTGGAATCTTGCTTGCCACCCCACTCCCACGTCCTTCTTTTTTTAATTTATTTTTTAATTTTTAAACATTTTTTTCTTTCTTACTTTACCCAAACCTGAATTTTATCCCCTGCTGAGAAGACAGCAAAGTAGGCAGATTCAGAGGTGTCAGAGACTGCCTTGAGGGTACGGCCACTCCACATACTTTCTTGGAAACCAGACTGGTGCTCCCCACTCATGGGAGAGCATAGGAACACCCTCCCAGTGTCTAGCAGACCCAAACTCTGGGATCTGGAGGCCCTACCTGCTTTCCTACTAGGGGCTTCACTCTGCCAAGTTCAGGGAAATAATCCAGGACAGACTCAGATGGGTGTCATGGGGATAAGGGAACATACCTACTATCTTCCCTGAAGTCTGAATGGCACCTCCCACAGGAGATCCAGGAGTCCCATTCTCCTGATTCCACCAGAAGCCCTCTCAAAAACAGACTGGCCAGCAACAAGACTAAGACTAATGGCAGGACTGGAGGTAGAGGAAGATGGAGACTGATCCTGTGGTGCCTTTGGTCATTAGTTGACCCACTCTGGGCCCTGTGCTATTAAAAAGCCAGCCTTGCAGAACAGCAAGACTCATCCCGAATGCAGCCAAGCCCAAAGGAGAGAGCCACAAACTGTGGATCACTTGTAACTTCAAACAGGCTGCCTATAACTAAACACAGACAGTACCTGACATTGGCTTACATCAGCTTCAGACAACATCAGAGTCGTATCCCGAGGAAGAATATAGCAGACAAGAATTAAAGTCTGCTGAAATGAAATCCACTTCATTCTTTTTCATTTTTTTCTTTCACATAGCTTTTTTAATCACTTTTTCTTTTAAATTTTTTCCTCTATTTTTTCTTTCAAATCTCTTATTTTTCTCTTCCCTTTTCTTACTCCATTTTTCCCTCTTCCTTCCTTCTCTTATATTTTTAAATTTTATTTTTCCCTTTTTTTATTCTTTTGTGGTGATTACCTGTTTCTATTCCTTACTTTTACTGTTTTTCCTCCCTCTATCTTCTCATTATCATTTTTCTTTCCATTGATCTTCTTGTAATCTTTTTTTTCCATAATATTCTGTTTGTCTTTTCACTTTTCTTTGCTCTTTCATTGTTGATATTGTGTTGTTAATGGGTTTTTGTTTGTGTGGGTTTTGTTTTTTGTATTTTTTTTTTCTGCCAGTACCTGTACAACAGTATACAACATGTGGCAGGATTGATCTTCTCAGTCAGCCAGCCAGAGAAGAGAACACACCAACAAATGGGTCAACAACAATCAAGACCTAAATATCATAGGAGAGCCCACATAAGTCACACAAGGGGCAATCCTAGAGAAACCAGCTAAGGAGATCAAGGGGACTGCACCACTGAGTCCCACAGGACTTCTACCATGTAAGCTCACCCCACAAAGACAGAGAGTTAAAGCAGATCTATCTAGTAAGTAGAAATAAACAAAAAGAGTCAGCTAAAATGGTGAGACAAAGAAACAACCCTCAAATGAAAGAAAAAGAGGTATCCCTAGAAAAATAACTAAATGAAATTGAAGCAAGCAATTTATCATAGAATTTAAAGTAACAGTTATAAGGGTGCTCAAGGAACTTAGTAAGGACTATAAGGAACTTAGTGGGAACTACATCAGCATGAAAGAAGACATAGAAAACATGAATAAAAAGCAGTTAGGAATGAAGAATGCAATATCTGAAATGATATTAAGAGGAATTAAAAGAAGGCTAGATGAAGCAGAGGATCAAGTCAGCCATTTGGAAGACAAGGTAGGAAAAAAACACCCAATCACAGCAACAAAGAGAGAAAAGACTTCAAAAGAATGAAGATAGTTTAAGGGAACTTTGGGACAACAAGAAAAATGACAATATCCAATTCATAGGGATACCAGAAAGAGAAGAAAAGGAGCAAAGAATAGAAAACCCATTTGAAAAAATAATGACAGAAAAATTCCGTAACCTGGTAAAGGAAAAGTCATACAAGTTTAAGGAGTACAGAGAGTCCAAATCAAGATGATTGCAGAGGCACACACCAAGACACATCATAATTTAAATGGCAAAATTTAAAGACAAAGAAAGAATCTTAAAGCCAGCAAGAGAAGGATAGTCAGTTACCTATAAGGAAGCTGATTTCTCAGGCCTGACGGAATTGGCATGAAGTATTCAAAATAATGAAAAGCAATGATCTGCCACCAAGACTACTCTATCTAGCAATGCTATCATTTAAAATTGAAGGCAAAATAAAGAGCTTTCCAGACCACCCTATCCTTCAAAAAAGGTGAAAGGAGTTTATTAACATCAAACAAGCATTGCAACAGAAGTTAATGGGACTACTTTAAGAAGAAGAAGTAATAGAGAGGAACATAGGTATAAAGGAACAAAAGGGCAATGAACAAGTCCAATTAATAATAACCTTAAATGTAAATGGATTAAATGCTCCAGTCAAAAGACATGGGGTAATTGAATGGATAAGAAAAACATGACAAAATAGACTATAAAACAAAGGCCATAAAATGAGACACCAAAGGTCACTACATAATATTAAAGGAATCAATCCAACAAAAGGATGTAACCATTATAAACATATAATCACCCAATACAGGTGCACCTAAATATATAAAGAAAATCTAGGTGGGCTTTAAGGAAAAAAAATCAACAGCAATACAGTCCCTGTAGGGGATTTCAACACCCTACTGTCACCACTGGCTAGATCCTCCAGGCCAAAAAAATAAATAAATAATAAAAATCAACAAGGAAACAGTGACCTTAAGTGACACACTAGACGGAATGGATTTCATTGATATTTACACATGGAACATTCTCAAAGGTAGACCACATGGTAGGACACAAAATAAGTCATAACAAATTCACGAAAATTGAAATCATATCAAGCATTTTCTTGGATCAAAATGGCATGAAACTAGAAATCACTCTCACTAAAAAAACTAAAAATCATTCAAATACATTGAGGCTAAATAGCATGTTATTAAATAATGAATGGCTCACTGATGAGATCAAGTAAGAAATCAAAAAGTACCTGGATACAAATGACATAAAAAAATGTTCAACATCTCTAATCATCTAATAATGCAAACTGAAACTACAATGAGATATCACCTCACACCTGTCAGACTGGATACTATCAATAAGTCACAAACAACAAGTGTTGACAAGGATGTGAAGAAAAGGGAACCCTAGTACACCACTGGTGGGAATGCAGACTGGTGCATTCACTATGGAAACAGTATGGTGTATCCTCAAAAAATTGAAAATGGAACCCTCCTTTGACCCAATAATCCCATTTCTGGGAATATAGCCTAACAATCCAGCACACCAATTCACAAAAAATATATGCAACCCTATGGTCATAGCAGTGTTATTAATAATAGCCAAGATCTGGAAACAGCTTAAGTGCCTATCAGTAGATGACTGGATAAAAAAGCTGTGGTACATCTAGACATTGGAATACTACACAGCAGTGAAAAAGGAACTCTTACCTTTTGCAACAGCATGGAGAATATTATTATAAGTGAAATAAGTGAAATAAACCAGGCAGTGAAAGAAAAATACTATATGATCTCACTTATATGTAGAATGTAATGCACAAAATATATTAACAAATAAAATAGGAACAGGACAGTTACATGGACGCAAGTGATGACAGTTGCCAGAGGGGAAGTGGGGACCAGATGAAAAATGGATGGTGAAAGGATTAGCCCAAGAACATATACACATGACCCATGGACTTGGACAACAATGAGGAAACTGCCTGAAGGTGGGGAGGGGGGCTGGATAGAGGGGGTCAAAGGGAGAAAAACTGTGGACAACTGTAATACCATAAATAGTAAGATAGAGTAAAAAAAGAAAAAATAAAATCTAAATACAGATCAACTGATGCAAAGTTACTGATTGTATTGATATAAATTGTAAGTTTAAGGTATACACCGGATTTCAGGAACTGAGAAAAAGAGTGTAAAATATCTCATTAATAGTTTTTCACTCTGATTACATGTTGAAATGATTAAATTTTAGACATAATGCATTAAATAAAATACATTATTAAATTTGAGTTCACCTGTGTCTTTTTTTTTTTTTTTTTAATGTGGCTGCTGGAACATTTAGAATAGCTACTTATTCAGCTTAAATTTGCTGTCTCTTGGACACTGCTACCCCTGACTGTCTGTGCTCCACACATCCCACTTAATCATCTGCCAGGTGCCTGCAGAAGCAGCCTGCTCTTCCCAAAGCTAATTTGTCCCTTTGGGATCTGGCCTCCTTCTGAACCTTGTGAAGGTATTACTTGTGCTAATGCAAAACCCTGGGGACATTTGTGCAACCCAAAGTAGTGAACCATTGTTTGACTTAATCTTCCTTTTTTCCAGCAAAATAACATGGCTCCTTTTGGAGACTTTAGTGTTGAGTTATTGAATACTGGGAGCTGAAAATAAGGACTGGCTGCCAAGTCCTAGTGGGCTTCCTCTGAGAGGAGGAGACTATAATGAGTTGCTTGGACTTGAATCTGAAGCACTTTGAAAGACATAATGAAGGTATTTTGTTCCTGTTTCCCCATAGCCTGATATAAAATAGAATTAAAAGTAAACATGTCTTTTACCTTTTAAAGTGCATTTGTAATGCTGAAGATCTGCCTTTACATGTTCTTCAAAATAGGAATGAATTAAACTTAGTGAAATTACTTTGGGGCATCTTTGAGGGAAATCGACTGTGTAAATCCTGTTTTAGGGGAATATACATTGCTTTATGAGCTTCAAAATGCCTTAAAATTAATTCAAAAAATATGATGGAAAACATTATTGTAAATCTTCATTATATTAAAAAATGTGGAAATACAATCTATGATCACAAAGCTTTCAGGCAAGATAATTAAACCATTATTTCTTTTTTTTGCTTCAGGATAAAGAATATCAAGGCAAAATAAAGCAGTAGACACTTTGCTTGTAATTAGTCAACTGAAGAAGTACAGTTGTTAACTGACAGGCCAGCATGCAAAAAGTCTTTATAAAAATCCACTTTGTTCCTCAGTTATCTCCCTTGCCCACTTTCTTCTTCCTGATAACGTGATAATAGGTTGGTTAGAATCTCCATCCCTTAACAATAATGAAACAAAAATGGAGAAAGAGGCCAGGACTCCCTGAAATGGAGTATCTTATTTGCACTTGGATGTTTGCCTCGGGGGAGGAGCCCCTCCTACACAGCAGGCACTAAGCCAGGCAGGACCAAGCAGAAAAATCAACCACAGTACTCACCTTCCTATCCTAACAAAAGCAATTTAATGGTCTCAGAATTTTTTGAGCTAATGTAATCTATAAAGTAATACAATAGTCTAATTCACATCAGTGTAATTTCTGACATTTTCATGTTATACTAGCATTCTATTAATAATTTGATTCTTAAAAAAAGAACACTGGTCATGCTATCTCTAAAAGAAATTATGCATTGAAAGAAAACTATTAAAGCAGCATGATTGAAAAATTATTAAAAATGACAATATTTCTATTTTCACAAGTTCATGCCATCTCAATTAACCTTATTATCAGAATATAGAAACAGATGAAACCACATTCAAAGCATTTTAAACATTTGAACAATGAATACAGCATTTTGCTTTTCTAGCTAACAAAACCAATTACATTACTCAAAATTCAGCATGTACTTACAGGAAAGAGACTGAAAATAAAATTCATAAAGTCCAATGACCTGTAAACAAAAACGGTAGGCGTTGTCATTGACCTGCAAGCAAAAGCAGTTCCATATATAGTTAAGATTTTTTACCACTTCCTCCCCCTCAGGCAGTGATTAGCCAACCACTACTCAGAATTAGTGTCTAGCTGAACCTTAATCAGTTGCAAAAGTCATAAGCTTCATATGTCAGTAATAAAGTATTTTTCTAGATATGAAGTTACTATTATAGCAATTAATAATCTCTGCACATTCAAAAAGCAAAATAGTCATTCTGTGGGCATGATCCATCCCTGCCTTTTTGGAGGAGGGGAGGGTTGTGGGGGCGGGGGATAGATGTGGGCATATCACTAGCTAATCTTTTTTATATGCAAAAGATATACCAGCTGCAGATGTATATTCACAGGAAAACCATAATAGGTCACTGAATTTCTGTCAGAAAATTCAAAAATCACATTCCAAGCACAGTCATATGTGAATGCACTGGGGAAAGTAAATATATACAACAAATTTAGAAGGATTTATAGGCTTTTTAGATGTCTATAATATAATTAAAATAAAAGAATTTCCCTTTTCAACTTTCCAGATGTCCAAAGAAACTGAAAATTTAAGAGGAAAAAAGTATAAGTAAAACATAGTTCTAAGTAAGGCTAGGATACTGGGAATTTGTTTAAATACATCCTCTAAAAGGAAATGTCCAGCAGTGCTCTTGGTCATCTAAAAGATATTCTAGAACATTCCAGTCTATCAAATGGGCCAGTCTATTCCTCTTTAAGATCATCTGCGGACAAAATGGTGGAGTAGGTGGGCACCCAAAGGAGGTGTGGAATATAGGCATTGAGGGCACGGGTCCATGTCCAAACTACGAGGGGCAGCAAGTGCTGAACAAATGCGTATTCTGGAGGGACAGGAAGTGGGATGGTTGAATCATCTGAGTAGGTGTCATAACTTCCTTCTAACAGCTGCCCTAGATTGTTGTTTGGTGTCCCAATAACCCTTTCTCAGGTTACCTTTGGGTGAAGCTACAGCCCCTGATACAGAGGGGAGCATGAGGTAAGGGACTAAGCTGTCTAGCCTGGCCCCTGCCATAAGATCAAGAATGAACACACAGCCTGATCAGGCCCAATGGGGCTTTGGCTGGAAATCTAAGCCCAAACCAGAATGTCCCCCTCAGGAGCTTTTGATGCAGAGCCTAAGCCCATGGTCTACTTTTTTAGCCCCATATGGAGACAGTGCTGTGACAATCGGGCCAGCAGTAGGAAACCAGAGCTGGGAGGTGAGAGAAAGAGAAACTTGGTTTTCGATTAGGTTATCTAAGTCCTCAATCAAGCGATATGGATAATCAGTCCAGCCAGGGGACTTATTCTTTGTTATGTGAGGCAATCATTCCATTTTTTTCAAATCTAGATTGGGTTGAATTTTCTGTGACTTGCAACAACAGCAACAACAAAAAAAACACACAAACAAAACCTCCAGATAAGCAGCATCTAAATCCAAAGTTCTTCCAAAATGAAAACTTTAGAAAATGGGGAGCAGTATATGGTTATATAAGTGATAATTTTCCAGATCCCCAGCTGTTATATAGGTAAGCCAGACCCTGAGCAGCCCAGTGCTATGAGCCCAACTCTGGGAATGGAGCCAAGAAACCCATGCTTTTAAAACATCTTCCCATGTTTGGCCAGGTTTGGAAACCACTGGCTCTGAAAGATTAAAATGTTGGGCCACCAACACCGTAAGTATCTTACCATAACAGACAACCTGGGGATCAATACTTGCCTTGCTTCATGTTTCTCATCAATACAAAACAGCTGTATACAGAAAGCGGACGAGGCTCCCATGTAAATGGGGTGGAAGTCATGGGTCTCTTCAGGCAGTGACATGGATGCTGAGCTCATGTTACTGACACAGTAATTGGTATCTTCAGTGGACTCTTGACAAAGATTTTCTAAGTCCTAGAGCAAGGAGAGAGGAGGAACCACATGGGAATCCTATTCATTTTCTGCAATTTAATGGGTTAGTGGTTGCATCATCTTCACATTTCTAGGACAGGTATGACTGTCTCACCTGAAACAAATTATCCTGAGCCACGCCTAGTTTTAAGGAGATATTATTAATAAGATATTAAAATGTATAAAAAGGACCAAAACAAGTTCTCACATAAAGGTCAAAAAAGGAGAAAAAGACGGTGGAGGAGTGAATGGGAGTCACACGGACCTCCTCCCAAGACCAAACTGGAATTGCAACTAAGTACTGGAGAAATCACCTGGAAAACAGTAGAATGAAAGAGGGAGAGGAGCCTTGGAGCTGCAGACAGAAAGTGGAATCAACTTTCACACATCCTGACGGGTGAGAAGTGCAGTGGAGGCTCGAGAGGGTGGGCTGGGCACCCACGGGCACCAGCACCAGAGGGACATTGAAATGGCCAGTTAGATCCCCCTGAGAAGAAAGGGGTCTGAACCATAAACAGGGACCCATACACTACAGCAGCTGAAACCAGGAAAACGCACAGACAAAACGCAACCCTGAAAAGCTTAGGGGCGCTCTCTGCCAGAGACAGATGGCTGGGGATGCACAGAGACATTTAAAGGGCCAACACAAAAATTTGCAGTGGCAGCCGCCTGCCTTGATCTCTGGGTAGAGGCGGCAGGAGAGTGGGTTGGGGCCTGAGGAAAGATTGGCGAGGAAAACTTTGTGAAGAGAACAGAAACTGTGGCCAGCGGAGCTCCGGTGATAACTCACCTCCCACTCTGCAGGTACCACCTTGCCCAGGTATAAGACAATCAATATACCTGCCTTTTGCATGCCCTGCACACAGCTTGTGCGCATGTGGGTTAGGGACTGAGTGCAGACTGGCTGGAAAAAATAGAGGATCCCTGGACAAAGGGGACACACAGCTGGATAGATACCCTTGAGGAGAGATTGGAGATGGAGGGGTTGGGGAAAGAACTGGAGGATTATCTGAGATCCCCAGAGCAGAGTCCCTCCCCATTCCGTAGTCCCTATTTGTGCTGGGAGGTCACACCCCCGGGGGCAGAAGCAGGCGCGCGATTACGGTCCTCAGAAATAATGGATCCCTAGCCAAAGGGGGTCACAGAGCTACCAAGAGACCCTTCGGGAGAGACTGGAGAGAGGATTAACTGGAGAGTCCCAGAGCTGACTTCTTCTCATTTCTGTAGTCTCCATTTTGTGCAGGCAGGCCACGCCCCCAAAGAGCCAAAAGTGGGGAAAGCACACAATAGAAGGCCCTAAACTGACCTGTGGAGGGGGCGCACACAAGGCGACAGGCGAGTACATGAGGTTCGGGGAGTACAACAGCCCGGGTGTGGTCTCCCATGGCCCGCAAGTGTGCTCAGGGAGCGAGCATGAGAGTGCAGAGTGGTCCGCAGAAATAGTGGATCCCTGGTCAAAGTAGTAACAGAGCCACCCAGAGACCCTTGGGGAGAGACTGGAGACAGGATTAACCACAGTCCCAGTGCTGACTTCTTCCTATTTCTGAAGTGTCCATTTTGAGCGGGCAGGCCATGCCCCCAAAGAGCCAAAAGATGGGAGAGCACACAATAAAACACCCTAAACTGATGAGTGCAGGGGCTCCTGCTGGGCTCCAGACGAATGCGAGGTCAAGTGAGCACACTGGTCCTGGGCAGGGGTGAGCGTGCTCAAAGAACCGGCGTGAGAGTGCAGAGCCATCCACAGAAATAGTGGATCTCTCGCTGAAGGGGTCACAGACCTGCCCAAAGCAGGAGTCAGAAACAGGCAGTAGATTCCTAGAAGGCTCAAACAAATGACTCAAGGTTACATATGGTCAATAACTGACATCATCAGGGCAGAACCAGAAAGAAAAGTAAAGAATAAATAAATAAAAGACCCGCCTACTACTATAGAAGTTGAATCCACAAAGTCAGGAAATCTAGACGGATCAATTGAAGCAGAAGAAATATAAACTAATTAATTAATTAATTAATTAATTTATAGACTCACCAAAATGTGAATAAAGGAGGTTCCCCCCAAATGAGGAGAAAGGAGGAATCCCCACAGAGAGAGCTAAATGAAATAGAGGCAAGGGAACTATCAGATATTGAATTCAAAACAATGTCTCTAAGGAAGCTCAATGAGCTCAGCCAGCTCAAAGACGACTATGAGAAACTGCAGAGAAACTATCAGGATCTTACAGCAAACTATATCAACCTGTAAAAGGACACAGACATTATCAAGAAGACACAAGAGGATATGAAGAATACCATTTCTGAATTGAAGAACACAGTAGAAGGAATCAAAAGCAAGCTGATAAAGCAGAGGATCAAATCAGTGAGCTGGAGGACAAGATAGAAAAAAGCTCCCAGAAAGAACATGAAATGGAAAAAAGAATGAAAAAGAATGAAGAGGCATTAGGGAAAGGCAGGACAACCTGAAATGTAATAATACTTGCATAATAGGGATACCAGAAGGAGAAGAAGAGGAGCAAAGGATAGAGAACCTCTTTGAAAAAGTAATGATGGAAAATTTCCCCAATTTGAGGAGAGAAAAGGTCTCATGGATGGAGGAGGCACAGAGTACCCCACTTAAGAGGGACCGAAGGAGGCCCACTCCAAGACACATCATCATTAAAATGGCAACTATCAAAGACAAAGAATCCTCAAGGAAGCAAGGGAGAGGTAGAAAGTAACATACAAGGGGGCCCCAATACACTTAGGAGCTGACTTCTCAACAGAAACACTACAAGCCAGAAGGGAATGGCAACAAATATTCCAAGTCATTAAAAGCAAGGGCCTACAGCCAAGGCTGCTCTACCCAGCAAGGCTCTCCATTAAAATAGAAGGGGAAATAAGGAGTTTCCCAGACAAAAGAAGGCTAAAAGAATACATCTCTATCAAACCAGCACTACAAGATATGCTAAAGGGACTGGTTTAAGAAGATGAAGGAAAAGAGTGAGAAAGAGAAAAACACAGGTACAAAGAGAAAAAAATGAATAGGTTTCTATCAGTAATAACTCTCAATGTAAATGGACAAAATGCCCCAATCAAAAGACACAGGATAGCTGAATGGATAAGAAAACATGGCCCACTCATATGGTGCATAAAAGAGACCCACCTCAGAGCAAATGACCTACACAGATTGGAAGTAAAAGGATGGAAAAAAATATCCCAAGAAAATGGGCAAGAGAAGAAAGCAGGAGTTGCAATACTTATTTCAGACAAAATAGATTTCAAAACAAAGGCCACAACAAGAGACCCAGAGGGGCACTTTATAATACTTCAAGGAAGAATCTATCAAGAAGACATAAACATTATAAACTTATATGCACCTAACAGAGGGGCTCCCAAGTTTATAAGGAAAATCTTGGACGACTTCAAAAAAGACATAGACAGCAACACACTGATAGTAGGGGCTTTCAACACCCCACTGACAAAAATGGACAGATCCTGCAAACAAAACATCAATGAGGATATTGTGGAGCTGAATGATGCATTGAATCAAACGGACTTAACTGACATATACAGAACCTTACATCCAAAAGAAGCAAAATATACATTCTTTTAAAATGTGTATGGAACTTTTTCAAAGATAGACCACATGAGAGGACACAAAGCAAACCTCAGCAAATTCAGGAAAACTGAACTAATACCAAACTTTTTCTCAGACCACAAGGGATTGAAACTGGAAATCAACCTCAAAGAGAAACTTCAAAAACTTGCAAACTCATGGAGACTGAACAGTAGACTATTAAACCAGCATTTAATATGAATGGGTCAATAATGAGATGAGAGAAGAAATCAAAAAGTTTCTGGAAACAAATGTAAATGAACCCACAACAGTCCAAAACCTATGGGACACAGAAAAGGCAGTCCTCAGAGAGAAGATCATACCAATACACGCCTACCTAAAACATAGAAACATTTCAAATATAAGACCTAACACTACAACTTCAAGAACTGGAGAAAACAACAACAAATAAATCCCAGAGCACATAGAAGAAAGGAAATAGTCAAGATTAGAGCAGAACTCAATGACATAGAGATGAAAAGAACAATTCAAAGGATCAACCAACCCAGGAGCTGGTTCTTTGAAAAGGTGAAAAAAATTGACAAGCCTTTAAGCAGACTCATCAAGAAAAAAAGGGAGAGGACCCAAATCAATAATATCAGAAATGAAAGAGGAGAAAGAACTGATACCACAGAAATACAAAAGCATCGTCACAAACTACTATAAACAATTACATGCCAAGAAATTTGAAAACCTCGATGAAATGGACGAATTTCTAGAAAAGTATCATCTTCCAACACTGAAGGAGGAAGAAACACAGAGCTTGAACAGACCGATAACAGCTGGGGAAATGGAAACAGTAATCGAGAAGCTCCCGACACACAAAAGCCCTTGTCCAGACGGATTCACAGAATTTTACAAAACATTTAAGGAAGAGCTAACCCCTGTCCTTTCCAAACTATTACAAAAACTCGAAGAGGAGGAAAGACTCCCAGACTCTTTTCATGAGGCCAGCGTTACCCTAATCCCAAAACCACGTAAGGACCCTACAAAGAAAACGATAGGCCAATTTCGCTGATGAACATAGATGCTAAAATCCTCAACAAAATATTGGAACCCGCAACCAGCAATACATTAAAAAGATTATCCACCATTATCAAGTGGGATTCATCCCAGGGATGCAGGGGTGGCTCAATATATGCAAGTCAATAAATGTAATACATCACATAAATAAAAGAAAAGACAAAAACCACATGATCATCTCGACAGACTCAGAAAAAGCATTTGATAAGGTATAGCACCCATTTATGATCAAAACATTCAGCAAAAAGGGGATAAATGGGGCATTCCTCAATGTAATAAAGGCCATATATGAAAAACCTACAGCCAACATCATACTCAACGGGCAAAAACTAAAAGCCTTCCCACTGAGATCAAGAACACGACAAGAATGTCCGCTTTCACTACTTCT